CCTGCTGGCCTCTGTCAGGCAGCTGAAGATGAAGAGGAATTTCACCTTCCAACATAACGACCCAAAGCACACATCCAAGTCAACCAAGGATTGGCTTCAGAAAAGGAAGATCAAAGTCTTGGAATGGCCCAGTCAGAGCCCAGACCTCAATCCTATGGAAAAACCTGTGGAATGACCTAAAGAGGGCTGTGCACAGGAGATCTCCTGGCAATATGAAGGAGTTTGAACTTTTTTGCAAGGAAGAGTGGGATAAAATTGCAAAGTCCAGGTGTGCAAAGTTGATAGAGACTTATTCAAAAAGACTTACTGCAAAAAGTGTTTTCACAAAGTATTAGCTGGGGGTGGGGGTGTGTGCACACTTCTGCAACCAGGGTGTTGTAGGTTTTTCAATTTCAATTATTTTTCCTAATTATTTGTTTTTCTCTTGAAGTTTATTGGTTTCAAGGTCACATTAAAGATGGAAAAATGTCTGACGTGATTTATCTTGATTTCTGGCTTTACATCACAAAAACCTGCAATTCACGGTGTGTGGACTTTTTATATCCACTGTATATATTATACTCCTCTGTCCATTTTCAAGCTGCTGAAGCCTATGCTGGCAACCAATGAGTGCAAATCAGGGTACACCCTGGACAGGATGCACACACTCGCACCAGGGCCAGTTTTCCCAAAAGCCCATTAATCTACCAGCATGTCTTTGGATTGTGCGAAGAAAGTGGAGCACCCAGAGGAAACCCACGTGAATACAGGGAAAACACGCAAACTCCACACACAGATCGCACCCCAGGGCCTCAGGGCCTGGATGCTGTAGTGCTGCGAGGCTGCAAAGCTTACCACAGTATCAGCGTGCCATCCTATTTATAATACATCAGTCGTATTTTGAAGGTGACGAGGGCTTACTTTTGTAAGTCCTTATATTTTTCCACCGTCACTCACATGCACATCAGAGGATGGCAGATTGCTGTGTTTGCAGTTCAGCAGCTATGGTGACTTTCACCAATGTTGTTATTTATCAAGAAACCTGCAAGAAACCTGCTTTTTTTTTCAGAGCACGGAGGACTCACAGGAAGTGAACAAGATGACAGCACAAGACACAAAACCCGCCCTCTCCACCAGGTTCTTTGGAGAAGATTGGTGAGACAGAAACAAGTCTCATAAGAAAAGCCTAGTCTGATCCATGCTTCCATTGATTTGCGTAAAAGTCAGAAATGTCTGGGATTCGGGGACTTCTTGATTTCAACTATGTACTAGCTGTTAGCACACTCTTACAGGGTAAGTGATACAGCTTGCTTTCTAATGGGGACGCATGTCAGTTAGGCTGAATATACAAATGATGTTTTGTTAATTGTTAATGCAGACCTTTATGCATCATGAAATTTTTAATTAGCTAGTTATTTAACAACTTTTTATAGACAGTTTGAATTTTTTTTGGAGCATTTTAGCATACTGCATTTCAAACCTGTTCCTCCTAGACAAACAAGCCATTTCAGCATTATGTCTATTGTTCGAAATGTGAGAGTAATTTTTGGTCTGTAAATTGCTAGGTTTTGGTCAGGCAAAAATCAAAATATTAGACTGTACCTTTCCACACAGATGAATTACATTAAACATTTATTTTTGATTTTCTATATCAAACCTCTTAAGCGAATCTTTAGCAGGTCTGTGATGGATTTATACTAGATTCTGCATACAGGGACTTCAAGAAGTATTCAGATCCTCTCACAGTTTTCACATGATATTGCTTTAAAGCTTGCAGTTACGACACTTTGAAGTAGCAATTCATATTTGTTATACACACAAATATTAACACACTTAAGACAAAAACAAAAAAAAAGGAATAATTAGACAACTAACATGAAAAGAAAATAGAAAAGTCATGATTACATAAGTATTTAAACCTTTTTCTATGGTATATCTAATTTAATATAGGTGCACAAAATGACTTTAAGGAGTGGTGCAGTTAGCTGAGTGGCTTCTGTCTGTGTGCAGTAAGAGTAGTTCACATGATTACATAAATACACTTATTATGTGAAGTTCCATAGTCAGGTAGGGATTTTAAAGCAAGGATTCAATGACGAAGACCAGAGAACTTTCAAAATATGTCAGAATAAAACTGTACAAAATCACAGATCAGGATAAACCTATAAAACAGTTAAAAAACCCTCAATATCCTTTTTGAGAGTTGATCATTAAGAAGTGGAAGGTCTATCATACCACCAAGATACTGCCTACATATGGCTGCCCTCTTAACTAAGCAGCCAGGCAAGAAGGAAACTGGACAGGCATTAGGCTTTTCTAAAACTATATCAGCATGTGTTTGACATTTTCCCTGGCTGTACAGTATTAAGAAGCACAGATAAATGTTTACCTGACACTCGGTCTCCCTGTCTAATCAGGAGTCTGATTGATTATAACAATGCATGTCAAATATATCTGTGCCAAATTAATTCTATCAGAGTAAACTTCAACACTTTTCTGGTTTTAGTTTATGCGACTCATTGCGAAAAAGTGTTGAAGTGTTAAACTTCCGCTTTTGTAGGTATTAAATTTCACTTGCACGAAGTTTACATTTTGAACACTACAAAGTCATAAAATTACACTCCTGTTTATGTAAAAAAAATGTTCTTTGGTGTAAAATAATGAATATAGTCAGAGTTATATGTTTGTTTCTGGGAAGAATGAAACATTCACCTTTGTTGTGTTGGAAGTGTATTTCAGAATAGTATAATTTCATTAAGATTTACATCTTAACCTATTGAATTAGTAAAATTAGTTTTGTTATAATGATCAAAGTTTACAAACTTTAAATTAGTTAGCATTTTATTGGCACCAAAATACTTGCCATAGATTAAAAACAGTTTCACACTAAGCAGCCTGAAGGCACTAAATAGAAGCAATCTTCCTCAAAAACATATTCTCTTCGAAAAATCAAATGTTGTTAAATATTTCAGGTTTTCAATGTGCAGCATTAAAACATTTTTAAACATTGGTTTTGTACTTTAAAAGACGTGGTCAGGAAAGCCAACTTTATGTTCTTCTGTTATTAAACAACATTTCTGTACAGTTATTTGTAACATTTTGCGGAACAAGGGCATTTCTTTCTCAGTTGTACTGCAATTCATTCCCAACCTACAGTATACTTCCTGTACACTGTAATACTGTATATAGTGGCCATTTTGTATTTTTTGGCAAGTGATTTGATTGATTATAATTTTGACATTTTTCAAAGTGGTTATGAAAAAATTGTCAATCTCATACTCTAAACACAGCAGTGGGCACATTTTAATATATATTGTTATGGTTGGCATCCCCGCCTCCAGAGTGCGCTCCAGTCCTTTTAATTATTACTTGTGTTACTTCCTGGTGTGTCTAGTTAAGGTCCCCCAGTTAAGTTTACTTCCTCCTGCCTACGGGGCTCAGCTTTGGAACATTGTTGCCTTATGGACCGCCAACTACCAGGCTTCAGGGGAAGCCTGAAGGCATAGGCCTGTTATAGTTACATTGACCTTCTGAGCATGGAGCCAAGCCCTGTATTTTCTAGTTCCTGTTCTTCGTGTGTTCTTGTCCCCATTTGTCTCTGGATGGATTTCCTGTTAATGGATCTATGGACTGTTTCCTGATTCCCCTTTGGACCTGCCTGGATTTGGTTGCTATCGGATACCTACCCTTCACTACTGCACAGACTTCCCTGTTACTACTGTGAGCACTAATAAACCTTGTGTGACTTCCCCGAAGTACGTCTCCAATTCCTTTCCGGATTTACAGCCTCACATAGGGTCTTAACCACACTTTCCACAGGAGGCTGACTCAGCAAAGTGACGATATATACTCGACAGATATTGAATCATGAAGTTACGCTTCGGTTGAAAACAACTTTGTAGAAAAAGTTTCTTAAAATGCTGGTGAGATTCTGTTACAAATGTTTAAGATGGGCTGCTATATGCTGAGTTACACAAAAAGAAAAGACAATGTTTATGACATGCCATAATATCAACAATAAATGCCAGTGTTTGACTCCTTCTCTAACAGCATCACCAAACATGCAATAACCAGGTTATTTCTAATTAAACAAAATGTCGGCATTTAGTCCTATATTACTACCTGTCTGTTGTATGATTCTTTCTCTCTTCATTAATGATAGTTCATTAATGAGTAAGCAATATTAAGAGAGTAGATTCTAGAATAGAAGTTAAGATTCTCAAAACAATTCACCTCATATTGGCCCAGAATGTCTTGCATTTCTTACCTTTGCTTCTGCAGTGTCACTTGGTCTGCAGTTGCCCTGGAAAACTGGAGAATTTGCAGGAGGGCTTACAGTTTCCAATGGCTTACCACTGTAACCTGACCTTCTCCTGGCCCGGTCTCCATCATCACTAATTGGGACTCCTATTAATCCATTATGCTATTCCCCTATATAGTTCAGAAGTGCCTCAGCACTTATCATTATGGTTTACCAGCAACTACTAAGATACCCTTCCACCCCAGCTTCTGACTGTTTTTCTCAGGTTGACTCTAATAATAATTGCTTACCCTTATATAGCACTTTTCTGGACACTCCACTCAAAGTGCTTTACAGGTAATGGGGATCCCCTCCACCAGCACCAGTGTGCAGCCCCACCTGGATGAAGCTCCAGTACTCTCACCACACACCAGCTCTCAGTGGGGAGGAGAGCAGAGTGATGAAGCCAGTTCAGAGATGGGGATTATTAGGAGGCCATGACTGGTAAAGGCCAATGGCAAATTTGGCCAGGATGTAGGGGTTACACCCCTATTCTTTTTGAGAAATTTTTAATTACCCCAGAGAGTCAGGACTTTGGTTTTTACGTCTCACCTGAAAGACAACGCCTATTTTACAGTATAGTGTCCCCCTCACTATACTGGGGCATTAGGACCACAAAGACCACAGGGTGAGCGCCCCCTACTGGCCCCACTAACACCTCTTCCAGCAGCAACCTGAGCTTTCCCAGGAGTCTCTCATCCAGGTACTGACCAGGTTCACACCTGCTGAGCTCCAGTGGGGCTGCCAGCTGGGAGCTGCAGGGTGATGTGGCTGTTGGCTCTTCAGTGGCTTTTCTCTGAGCACTCCATTCCTACCTGGAACTGTGGAAATCTTCATTCTCGTCACTACCTGGCTCCATTTTTGTGCAGCCTGGATTTTCGGAGTCACTTCCGACTTTCTCCGCCTTACCCCTAAGCATCCATCCAGTGTTGTCCTGCCTGGTATCCCAGTGTTCATACTGAACTATGAACAGTGAACAGTGGCTGAATCAGCCTTCAGTCTATGCAATCTTTCCTTGTCTAGAACCCCGGACAACTGTCTGGCTCTGCCATCCTCATCACAATACGGCTGCATTCCTGAGCATCATTTGACCTGATTCCCTTGGGTCGTTTGGACTGCCACCGATCAACAGCTGACTTGACCTCCTTTCCACGCAGTCCCGTCTAGCTAACGCCAGCACTCAACGTGGACTGCCCCAGAACAGCTGCTGAGTCAGCTCTCACTTCAAGCAGTCCACTTTCACCTGGAACCTCAGACATATCTCGCATGCTCTCTCATCTTTGCCACTGGATCAGATCACTTTATTAGCCATATACAATTTGTCGCATTTGGAATTTGTCTAGCAATATCTATTCTCGGGCAGCACAACTCATCTGGAATCCCAGGGCATCTTGGACTGTTTTCGCCCTGCTGCTAGAGCAGTCTTCACTCCAAGCAGTCCTTTCTGGTCCACTGTGGACTGCCTTCACTCCACCTGGAATCCTTATCCTTATCATCATTACACCTAGCCTCTTTTCCAGGTCACCCCTTCACCTCACTTTTTATTTTCTCTCTCTCCATGATCACTCGACAGCTTCCCAGTGGAACCTCTCTTGTTCCTGGGATTCTGTTCCCTGGGCTCCATCTGGGAGCTCTGCCTATGACTGTACAGTCTGGGGCAGCTTTAGTATCTTCCTTGAGAAAAAGAAAATTGTACACACAACCCCTTGGATCATAACTTGCTGAAAACATTTTGCTGATTGTTTCTAAAAATGAATTTTAATACCATATAGAATAGTATGCAAACTTATCATTTACAGGGATTTTTTCACACATTCTAGCCCTTTGATTCTACCTGCTGTCATACCTAGGGGTATCTCAATGGGCTCAAGAACTCCTTACCTGAGTCACTGAACAACATGTTTCTTTTACATCATGTTTGAACTAAAAAAGGATTCTCCAAATTATCTAAACAATATGAGGGAGGAGATTCAGTAGCAAAGTTGGGACAAGCCAGGTCAGGAATCCAAACAAGCACTAGAGAGGAGGCACAGGAACACAAACAGCAGCTTGGGAGTTTGGTAGTACAGGAACATGGGAACAGAGGTAGCAACCAGGGAACCAGGAACTACAGAACTAAGCAGGAGAAAATTGACATTACCATGGCAACCGGCCAAACGTGAACTCTCCTGCCAATGCCAGTTACCATGCACGCATAATCAGACAGACAACCTGATCAACTGGCAGTAGGGTGGTAACAAGAGGTGTACTGCACAGCTCCAGCATGTCCCACAGAGCTGGAGCTGTGGTAGACATGACACACCTTTATATGATGAACAACAATATCGTAGGTAGTTTGCAAGATCCTACGGGATCAATAAAGTCTTATCTATCTATCTAAACATTGGTCAGTGCCTCATCGTAGGAGATGCTAGACACAAATTGGGCTTCAAAAAGTTATTTGAATGATGCCATAGTGCTGCTTGCATGATATGAAATGAGGCGTTTGCTCATTATAATGTAGAAGTCATGGATCCTGGCTCATGTTGTCCCTACAGCCAAGACGTAAGGCTGACATCTTTTGCTGTGATGTACATGTTCATCAAGATAGTAGCATGACTCAGGAAAATACGGGACCAATTAGAACTAAAGTCCCATCATTTAGCACAGAAGAGGTAAAACAAAGATATTAATTGGTCTCAAATTCTTAATAGATGGAAACTAGGCTTTCACATACAGGGGTATTATTCTTGTGTGCACCCACAAATGAGCAATTGAGACAGGTGGTATAACTTTAACAGATTTCAGAAATCTGTTATGGTAAAAAAAAACATGTAGTGTTGTAAGATATTTTTCAAATTTACATTGCATATATTGATGAAAGCATTACTCTTTCAAACACCTTTAAATACCGCATCTTGCAGTCAGTTACACCACTAACTAATCCCTTTTCTCAGTTTTTCAGCTGTCAGTCAAAGTGTCCCACTCCTTGGTGGTGAATGGAACTCTGGGACAGTCGGTTGTCCTTCCTTCAGGTGTGGATGAGAAAACCTACAACTCTGTCAATCCAGATATCGTACAGTGGGAGAGAAACAGGGAATATATCATCCAGTTCTTAAATCAGGTGAAGTCTCTTGAGAGCAATAATTTTAAAGGCCGACTCACTGTGAGCCCAACAGATGGGTCTTTAACTGTCAGCCCCCTGAGAGGAGAAGATGAAGGAGAATATGTGTTCAGTGGAACCGGATCAGGGTCCTTCCCAGAGCACAGAGTTACTCTTCGGGTTTATGGTATGATATGTTTCCTTAATTCATTCACCTGTACTTCA